TAAAATATAAATTAGGTAGCCCTAAAATTTGGATGTCACTCAAAACCTTAGGGGTAACTAATCCAATTATCTTTATTGTGGTTGTGTAATTGCATCATTTCTTAGAAAGTTCTGGTTAGTATAATTCCCAGAGTATGTTCAGTCTTTATGCTGTATTTGTGACATTCGTTGTCATCACTGTAGTTGTAAATTTCTGCTTTCAAAACGATTTAATCCACTTTACCGTCTGTTAACCCTGCAGTTGGGCACTGTTGTTACCAGGCCGTAGTAGTAAGACCTCTAGGATATACTGAAGGCCTAAACCAGCCATGTTCAGAAGACCATGGCTATGCCCTGCTCAAAATCACCAGATTTAATATTGAATCCAACCTTCTCCTTTTCAAGAAAAAGTTAATTTCCTTATGAAAAGTTAAACAACCTTAACCAGTAATGCTGAAAATGCCTATTTATGTATTCATCCTTCATTTATTCATTTTTGAGATTGATACGGTTTGGTTCTGTGTCCCCACCCAAATCTCATGCTGAATTGTAATTCCCAGTGTTGCAAGAGGGACCTGGTGGGAGATGATTGAATCACGGGGGCAGACTTCCCGCTTGCTGTTCTGTTGATAGAGTTCTCACACAATCTGGCTGTTTGGAAGTGTGTAGCACCTCCTCCTTCGCTCTCTCTCCCCTGCTCCGCCATGTGAGGACGGGGCTTGCTTCCTCTTCGCCTTCTGCCATGATTGTAAGTTTCCTGAGGCCTCCTCAGCATGCTTCCTGTACAGCCTTTAGAACTGTGAGTCAATTAAGCCTCTTTTCTTCATAAATTACCCAGTCTCAGGTATGTCTTTACAGCAGTGTGAGAACAGACTAGTATAGAGATCATAATACTACCCCTTTAAAGTACACAAGTTGGTGGGTTTATAGTATATTCACAAAGTTGTGCAACCTTCATTCCTATCTAATTCCAGAATATTTTCATCACTGTAAAAAGAAACCCACTACCCATCAGCGTCACTCACTTCCCACTCCTCCCTCCTCCCAGCAACTAATCATTAATCTACTTTCTATATTTATGGATTTTCCTATTCTGGACATTTCATATAAATGGTACTATATAAATGTGGCCTTTTGTAACTGGCTTCTTTCACTTTGTGTAATTTTTTTTTCCAAGATGGAGTCTTGCTCTGTTGCCCAGGCGAGAGTACAGAGGCATGATCTTGGCTCATTGCAACCTCCATCTCCCAAGTTCAAGTGATTCTCCTCCCGCAGCCTCCCATTTAGCTGGGATTACAGGCATGTGCCATCACGTCTGATTAGTTTTTTGTAGTTTTAGTAGAGATGGGTTTTCACCATATTGGCCAGGCTGGTCTCGAACTCCTGACCTCAAGTGATCTGCCTACCTTGGCCTCCCAAAGTGTTTGGCACTGTGTGTAATATTTTTAAGGTACATCCATGTTGTACCACAAAACTTTTTCCTTCTTTTCTTATTTTTATTTTATTTATTGATTTTGAGACAGAGTCTCTCTCTGTCACCCAGGCTAGAGTGCAGTGGCACGATCTTGGCTCACTGCAACCTCTGCCTCCTGGGTTCAAGTGATTCTCCGGCCTCATCCTCCCAAGTAGCTGGGACTACAGGTGCGCACCACCACACCTGGCTAGTTTTTGTATTTTTAGTACAAACGGGGTTTCACCGTATTGGCCAGGCTGGTCTCAAACTCCTGACCTCGTGATCCGCCTGCCTCGGCCTCCCAGAGTGCTGGGATTACAGGCGTGAGCCATTACACCTGGCCTTTTTTTTAAAAAAAATTGTGATAAAAACACATAGCAAAACTTTTACCATCTGAGGCATTTTTAAGTGTAAAGTTTAGTAGTTGATGTAGTTTGGATGTTGGTCCCCACCTAACTCTCATGTTGAATTGTAATTCCCAGCGCTGGAGGTGGGGCTTGGTGGGAGATGTTTGGATCATGGGGACAGATCCCTCATGGCTTGGTGCTGTCTTCATGATAGTCAGTTCTTGAGGATCTGGTCATTTAAAAGTGTGTGGCACCACCTTCTCCACTCTCTTTCTCTTGTTCCTGCTTTCACCATGTGATATGCCTGCTCCCACTTCATATCTTCTGCCATGAGTAAAAGCTCTCTGAGGCCTCCCCAGAAGCAGATGCCACTATGCTTCCTATACAGCCTGCAGAACCATGAGCCAATTAAACCTCTTTTCTTATAAATTACCCAGTCTCTAGTATTTCTTTATAGCAATGCAAGAATGGCCTGATAGGCCTGGTGCAGTGGCTCACACTTGTAATCCCAGCACTCTGGGAGGCCGAGGTGGGCAGATCACCCGATGTCGGGAGTTCGAGACCAGCCTGGCCAATATGGTGAAACCCTGTCTCTACTAAAAATACAAAATTAGCTGGGTGTAGTGGCAGGCACCTCTAATTGCAGCTACTCGGGAGGGTAAGGCAGGAGAATCGCTTGAACCTGGGAGGCGGAGGTTGCAGTGAGCTGAGATCCTGCCATTGCACTCTAGTCTGGGCAACAAGAGCGAAACTCCATCTTAAAAAGAAAAAAAAGAATGGCCTAATACAGTAGTGTTAAATATATTCACATTGTTGTGAAACAGATATCCAGAACTTTTTCATCTTGTAAAACTGGAACTCTATAACCATTCATTAATAAACAAATTCCCTTTTTCTCCTCCTCTACCTGCCCCTGGTAACCACTATTTTACTTTCTGTTTCTATTAATTTGACCACTTTAGATATCTTATGTAAATGGAATCGTAGTTTTTGTTCTTTTGTGACGGGTTTATTTCACCAGCATAATGTCCTCAAGATATGCCCATGTTGTAGCAGGTGATGGGATTTTCTTCCTTTTTAAGGCTGAATAATATGTGTATGCCACATTTTGTTATCTCTTCATCTATGATGGACACCTGGGTTGCTTTCACTTCTTGGCTATTGTAAGCAGTGCCAGCATGAATAGTACCTCATTCCTTTTGCTGGCTGAATGATAGTGACTTTTAAAAGTATTATTTATTAATGTCTGAAATATGCTGGGTGTATCTTACTCCCTAATCTTTTACCTGTTATTTTTAAATGCTGTTTCTAAAGTGTATCTTATTCATAGGACTTGCTTAGAAAAATCCTTTATGATCATTTAGAAAGGACCTTAACTTGCCTTATAAAACTTCTTTGAGGCCAGGCACAGTGGCTCACACCTGTAATCCCAGCACTTTGTGAGGCCGAGGTGGGCAGATCACCTGAGGTCAGGAGTTCGAGACCAACCTGGACAACATGGCAAAACCCTGTCTCTACTAAAAATATAAAAAGTAGCCAGGCGCAGTGGCTCACACCTGCAATCCTAGCTATTCAGGAGGCTGAGGCACAAGAATCGCTTGAACCTGGGAGGCAGAGGCTGCAGTGAGCCAGGAGTGCACCACTGCACTCCAGCCTGGGTAACAGAGTGAGACTCTGTCTCAAAAAAAAAAAAAAAAAAAGACTTTGAGTATGTGTGGGCCCATTGAGTCCTGCCTTCAGTTGGTCACCAAAGCCCCAACTGCTTTGTTCTCAAGTACTTCTTGTGAATTTAGCTTAAGTTTTCGATCATACGATTTTCTTCTTTCACAGCCTGCTTTAAGAGTACCAATGCTCAGGATTCTGCTTAGTCATTTTATCCTTTTTATTCCCCAGCAGAAGTTGAAGAAAAGAAATTTTTAAAAGATGTGTATTTATTTGTTTGTATGTTAATACCCCAACTCATTTCAGGAAGAAATGGAAGTGGAGAAAAAGCTGTATATGGACACAGTCTTGATATTGTCATCTTCCGATCCCGATTCTGTATATGGGACCTGCCCACTCTCCCTAAGTACTGACATTCCTCCTATTTCCTCCCTAACTTCTGGAAAGGATCTATAGTTTCTTTCCCCCGGGATAATAGGGGTCAAAATTTTACAAAAATGATGAAATACTTACAGTGGAATTTGCATTAAAAGGAAGAAAGTGTTATCTATATAGCTATATATTTACATCTACATCTATATCTAAAGTTTCTTAGTGGGTGGAGGGACTTCGAATTGCTCCTAAAACCACACCACCAAGGTGGCTGAACGCTCCTTGTAACATGCCTCACCATCCTACTTGTGAACTGAGCCAATACACTTCAAAAAGAGGCGGATCCCTCTCTCTGCAATGACCAGCATGAGAGCTACACAGAGACCTGGCAAATCATTACACATGAAGATGCCAGTGGCCCAACTTTGCTGCTGGGTTGCCTTTTCCTCCCGCTGAGGCCTCACTGCCCAGCCACTAAGTTCAAAAGCAGAGGCAAAGGTCCATAATACCTGACCTCTTGGAACAGCCCAGGATGCAGTGCCAACCAGCAGTTCCTTCTGACCAGCAGCACTACCAGGCTCTTTCTGAACAGATCACTCACCTCCTGGAAGTCCCAGCGCTGCTGGTGGATGGCCAGGCCTTCCTCTGTGCAGTTCTGAAGAATCACCTGCTCCTGCCTGACAGCGAAGCACCTTTTTTTTAAAAAAAATTGTGATAAAAACACATAGCAAAACTTTTACCATCTGAGGCATTTTTAAGTGTAAAGTTTAGTAGTTGATGTAGTTTGGATGTTGGTCCCCACCTAACTCTCATGTTGAATTGTAATTCCCAGCGCTGGAGGTGGGGCTTGGTGGGAGATGTTTGGATCATGGGGACAGATCCCTCATGGCTTGGTGCTGTCTTCATGATAGTCAGTTCTTGAGGATCTGGTCATTTAAAAGTGTGTGGCACCACCTTCTCCACTCTCTTTCTCTTGTTCCTGCTTTCACCATGTGATATGCCTGCTCCCACTTCATATCTTCTGCCATGAGTAAAAGCTCTCTGAGGCCTCCCCAGAAGCAGATGCCACTATGCTTCCTATACAGCCTGCAGAACCATGAGCCAATTAAACCTCTTTTCTTATAAATTACCCAGTCTCTAGTATTTCTTTATAGCAATGCAAGAATGGCCTGATAGGCCTGGTGCAGTGGCTCACACTTGTAATCCCAGCACTCTGGGAGGCCGAGGTGGGCAGATCACCCGATGTCGGGAGTTCGAGACCAGCCTGGCCAATATGGTGAAACCCTGTCTCTACTAAAAATACAAAATTAGCTGGGTGTAGTGGCAGGCACCTCTAATTGCAGCTACTCGGGAGGGTAAGGCAGGAGAATCGCTTGAACCTGGGAGGCGGAGGTTGCAGTGAGCTGAGATCCTGCCATTGCACTCTAGTCTGGGCAACAAGAGCGAAACTCCATCTTAAAAAGAAAAAAAAGAATGGCCTAATACAGTAGTGTTAAATATATTCACATTGTTGTGAAACAGATATCCAGAACTTTTTCATCTTGTAAAACTGGAACTCTATAACCATTCATTAATAAACAAATTCCCTTTTTCTCCTCCTCTACCTGCCCCTGGTAACCACTATTTTACTTTCTGTTTCTATTAATTTGACCACTTTAGATATCTTATGTAAATGGAATCGTAGTTTTTGTTCTTTTGTGACGGGTTTATTTCACCAGCATAATGTCCTCAAGATATGCCCATGTTGTAGCAGGTGATGGGATTTTCTTCCTTTTTAAGGCTGAATAATATGTGTATGCCACATTTTGTTATCTCTTCATCTATGATGGACACCTGGGTTGCTTTCACTTCTTGGCTATTGTAAGCAGTGCCAGCATGAATAGTACCTCATTCCTTTTGCTGGCTGAATGATAGTGACTTTTAAAAGTATTATTTATTAATGTCTGAAATATGCTGGGTGTATCTTACTCCCTAATCTTTTACCTGTTATTTTTAAATGCTGTTTCTAAAGTGTATCTTATTCATAGGACTTGCTTAGAAAAATCCTTTATGATCATTTAGAAAGGACCTTAACTTGCCTTATAAAACTTCTTTGAGGCCAGGCACAGTGGCTCACACCTGTAATCCCAGCACTTTGTGAGGCCGAGGTGGGCAGATCACCTGAGGTCAGGAGTTCGAGACCAACCTGGACAACATGGCAAAACCCTGTCTCTACTAAAAATATAAAAAGTAGCCAGGCGCAGTGGCTCACACCTGCAATCCTAGCTATTCAGGAGGCTGAGGCACAAGAATCGCTTGAACCTGGGAGGCAGAGGCTGCAGTGAGCCAGGAGTGCACCACTGCACTCCAGCCTGGGTAACAGAGTGAGACTCTGTCTCAAAAAAAAAAAAAAAAAAAGACTTTGAGTATGTGTGGGCCCATTGAGTCCTGCCTTCAGTTGGTCACCAAAGCCCCAACTGCTTTGTTCTCAAGTACTTCTTGTGAATTTAGCTTAAGTTTTCGATCATACGATTTTCTTCTTTCACAGCCTGCTTTAAGAGTACCAATGCTCAGGATTCTGCTTAGTCATTTTATCCTTTTTATTCCCCAGCAGAAGTTGAAGAAAAGAAATTTTTAAAAGATGTGTATTTATTTGTTTGTATGTTAATACCCCAACTCATTTCAGGAAGAAATGGAAGTGGAGAAAAAGCTGTATATGGACACAGTCTTGATATTGTCATCTTCCGATCCCGATTCTGTATATGGGACCTGCCCACTCTCCCTAAGTACTGACATTCCTCCTATTTCCTCCCTAACTTCTGGAAAGGATCTATAGTTTCTTTCCCCCGGGATAATAGGGGTCAAAATTTTACAAAAATGATGAAATACTTACAGTGGAATTTGCATTAAAAGGAAGAAAGTGTTATCTATATAGCTATATATTTACATCTACATCTATATCTAAAGTTTCTTAGTGGGTGGAGGGACTTCGAATTGCTCCTAAAACCACACCACCAAGGTGGCTGAACGCTCCTTGTAACATGCCTCACCATCCTACTTGTGAACTGAGCCAATACACTTCAAAAAGAGGCGGATCCCTCTCTCTGCAATGACCAGCATGAGAGCTACACAGAGACCTGGCAAATCATTACACATGAAGATGCCAGTGGCCCAACTTTGCTGCTGGGTTGCCTTTTCCTCCCGCTGAGGCCTCACTGCCCAGCCACTAAGTTCAAAAGCAGAGGCAAAGGTCCATAATACCTGACCTCTTGGAACAGCCCAGGATGCAGTGCCAACCAGCAGTTCCTTCTGACCAGCAGCACTACCAGGCTCTTTCTGAACAGATCACTCACCTCCTGGAAGTCCCAGCGCTGCTGGTGGATGGCCAGGCCTTCCTCTGTGCAGTTCTGAAGAATCACCTGCTCCTGCCTGACAGCGAAGCACAGGTGCTGTGGCCTGCCAAAGTGAATCTCCTTCCTGCTGGTGTGCTGCAGGTACTGTGACAGAAGCAATGGTTGTTAGCGCAACTAGAAAGAGATCCTCTCCAAAGCTGTAGAGGAGGTAAGAAGAACCCACTATACAGCTGAGGTCTAGGGGCAATCTTCAGATTCTATCGGGGTCAGCAAGATCACATCTCATGGTCAAGTCCAAAAACATGCTGCTAGACTAGTCGTAGCCTCTGAAGTCCCCATATTCCAGCTGCTCTCACATTCATATTTACACATTCTGGCATGTTTCTCTGTTACTTTATTTACTATACCATAGGTGAGGCCATAAAAAGTGCTGTGTGTTTGGTTAGTATACTGTTGAAAGCACAGATGAGGAACCTCTCTGAAGCCCAGGTTGATGTCTTTCTGGAGAACCCTGACCTGCTCCTGAAACTAATTTTCCTGCAGTTTGTTGTATCTGCTGGCTCTCACTCATGGTTATTGTCTCCTCCAGTGTTTTGTAGTATTGGATTGTGTACAACTTTGAGAGGGGCTTTAACTGTGAGGATCTTGTGAACATTAATTGGAAGGCACGTCCTGGAAAGACGATTTTCTGTTCGTTTCTGTCAGATGCAGCCTGAACTTATTTTTACATTAATTTTATGGCTTACAGACAGGATCAGCTTCACGGGCATGTGACCTGTGCAGTCACATGGGGCCTCATGCTTAGATGGGTTTCATACTCTTGGTTTAATAAATTTGATTTAATGCTCTGCTGTCACTGTCTTAAAATTCTTAATAATTGTCAAATTAAAGACTACATTGTCATCTTGCACTGGGCCCTGCAATTAGATAGTCTGTCCTGCTTGATGATTCCCAAACTACACAATTAGTACACATGTGAACCTAAGCCCATATTAGATCCGAGCTTGTGGTTAAAAATTCTCAGGGGAGAGTAATTTGTTTCCTACTCAAAGCCCCTGTAGGGGCAAGCTTCTTGCCATTTTCCTGTGGCAGGGGGTAGATATTTCTAGTCAAACTTTTCAAGGACAGGTTACCCTTTGAAGGTCAAAGCTGGCTTGCTATGGGAGTTTCATTTCTGACTTCTCATCTCTCATGGGCTAAGGCGGGCTCTCATCACTTTTCCCTTGCATGGAGCCAACAGCTGTAGATTCCTGAGGCTGGCAGTAACCATCCCCTCACACTTGGTAGGGCAGCTTTGCCCATGTCCAATTCCTCTACTTTCAGTTGCCTCTTGTTTTTTGACCCCTGGAGGTTTCCTTTTCTTTCTTGCAAACTCATTTATTCATGAAAAAGGGTGTTTCATATTTTTTTATCCAGCATAGCTTATCTAGGTGTTTATAGGGAAGGGCTTTCATCTTATCTAGTTTACAATATTGCAGGATCCTAAAGTCCTTACTATTAAAAAAAAAAAGAACAAGAAAGAGCTAATATTCCTTTTGCATGAAGGAGGCTGTATTATTCTTTTGTTTCTTTATTTTTTTTTATTCTTCTTTTTCAAACCCAAAATAATCTCTGTAGAGGATGCATTATTCTTAACTGCAGGTGAGAAAACCAAGATTTAAAGAAGCCTGCCAGGATCACACAGCTAGAAAATGAGGGAACTCAGATTCAAACCAAGCTATGCCTGACTGCAAAGCTAGAACAAATTTCACCCTACCACGTGGCTTCCTCACTCAGCACTTGATGTTTATGTCTGTATCCCTTGTGTCAGGTGTGAATGCCTATCAGTATGTCCTAGGAGATTGGTAAAGGGCAGAGCCAAAGGAGGCCGGATGGATTCTGAGCATCTCCCTCCCACATGTTCTATAGGCCCACAGCCTGCCCCCAGAAACCCGGGGCCTACACTGCCAAGCCCAGCCTCAGCCAGCCTTCCGTGCAGGGCTGGACCACAGACCCTCAGAGAGATGCTGTCTTTTGCCCCCAGGATCTTTGATTCTCATCCAGTGAATATCTCCAGGAAATTATACTTTGATGTTTGTTTTTATTAGGGGCCTTTGGGATGTGATAACTTAAAAGTCCCTATCACAGCCTGAAAAGAGAGAGACTTGGGGACAAGCTAGGCTTTCTAGGTTGTCATCCAGTTGTGAAAAGAAGTGGACCTACCAGCCCACAGCTAGTGTCGGTGGAGGATTTCTACCACTTTGGGCAGTTACTCCATGATGAAAATTTTGAAGAGAAGTATTACTCCTAAGATATAAGGAGACCTTCCTGATGACCAAATGGTGCTAGAGGCTGGAATGACCCTATTGCCTCTAGAACCTTATCTTGATATGATTACCTTCTTTAGTCCTCGGACAATTGAACCCTGCCTGAACCTTGAAGGCTTCTGAGTTTGCAATCCCTGGGCTAGTGACCCTAAGCCTCAGTTTTCTCATCTGTCAAATGAAAAGTTTGGCCAAACAGCCTCTCCATTTCCCTTTAACTAAGATGCTTTTATTTTCTGACAATGGCCTATGTCTGTGCTTACAGATGGAGGTGAGGTGAGGAGAGCTGTGATGGGTCATTATAGTGAGGGACCATGGCAGTCCAGGGACATGGGACCACAGAAAGAAGATATCTCAAAGGAAAGTAGGGGGCATCCCAGAAAAATGTCACCCACTTTCAAGTCTTCTTGGGCTATGATTCATCCTGAGAAGTCTGACTGCTCACCTGTTGCTGCCGCTATGATTCATCCTGAGAAGTCTGACTACCCACCTGTTGCTGCCGGCTGTCACTGCAAGGAGCCAACACCATGGGACAGTCCAGGAGGTTCCCTTCTGCTTGGCAGTCTGCACAGAGCCCAAGTCCAGTGTTGTGGAGCTGAAAGTGGACACGTGGGATTCACTCCACACAGGAGTGAATTCCGAATTCCACCCTCGGTCAGGCATCCTTGGTCAGGCACCATTCCTTTGCTGTATTCTCTGGAGTGTAGCCCAAGGTACATTGTTCAGGCCACAACAATGGGTGTGGTCAAGCTGAAGCCACTGACCCGAAGGGACAGGCCTCTTGAAGGAGGTGCTTTGGGGTGGGTAATGGAGCAAAACCCAGCCACGTTCTTCAGACTGGCATGGAGGCACAGGATGGACCCAAGGCCTCTGAGGCCCTGCTAAACTATGAATGGTTGACCAGGGACATGGAACAGCTGAACATCTAGTTGTTGTCTTGGGAAGCTTCCCTCTCCCTCCCCATCTTCCCTGGGTCACGCCTTGCCTTTCCAGAGAACCTGGGCCTGGGTTCAGATGGGTACAGCTCAGGGTAGACATTAGCCAGAAACCAGTGGAATGTCCGACAACTCAGTCTCCTTTGCAGCTGCAAGCGTTCCATACAGTCTGGCTTCTCAGCCTGGGGAGGAGAAAGACACAAGCAGGATGATGAAAGCTTGTCTTGCCCAGAATTCACATGGTTGGGGATGGAGTGGCTGGGAAGAAGCTGAAGGATCAGGACAGAAGGAAGGGGCCAAGACCACAGTTCTCCAGGGCTGCAGTGGGGAGGGTCATGTGTTGGGAGAAGAAGGTCTGGAAGGGACAGAATAGCACAGATCTTCCCTACAGAGAGCTGTGGAACCAGCAAGACTGTAAGTGATATCAGCCCCTTCCCACACTCCCTCAAATCTCCAGTCTATAAAGACTATGATAAGCCAGGAGTGGTGGCTCACTCCTCCAGCATTTTGGGAGGCCGAGGCTGGTGGATCACTGGAGGTCAGCAGTTCAAGACCAGCCTGACCAACATGGTGAAACCCTATCTCTACTAAAAATACAAAAAAATTAGCCAGGTGTGGTGGCACATGCCTGTAATCCCAGCTACTCGGGAGGCTAAGACAGGAGAAATCACTTGAATCCAGGAGGCAGAGGCTACAGTGAGCCAAGATCGTGCCACTGCACTCCAGTCTGGGCAACAGAGCAAGACTCCTTCTCAAAAAAAAAAAAAAAAAAAAAAGAGAGAGAGACTATGATATCTGTGCTTTAATGATTTTTCTGCAGAAATTGGCAAAATTGGGAACTTTGCACCTAGGTTGGTATAAGGAGAAACCACAATGGGCCTCTTGGAGTCAGGAACTGACCCATAGGCAACTGAGATGAAGTTAGCTGGGAAATCATGGGCTAGGGGTTGGGGCAAGGCAAGTGTATCTTTCTTCACCTCTGGGTACCATTAATGAATCACTCCGTTGGGCTACACTATCCCCTCTGTTTGAGATTCTCCTTTATGATACAATTGTCCTAGGATGGAGATCAAGGCAAATCCTTAACACTAGTACAAATTAATGTTTTTGGCTATATTAATGATACAAAGAACTGTACCCAAAAGTTTAGTACCAAATCATGGATACTTTTAGGGAAGAGAGAGGTGACAAGGATGGGTTGGAATGACCACAGACAAAAAAAGAGAGAACCCTTTCCTGGCATGGGGAGAGGAAGCAAGCTGGCCATGTCAGAGTTCCCATTTGATGGCCTCTAATCTGACAGTAAGACATGGTCAACCAGGCTGTGTGAAGTGCGCTTGGTTTGGTTTTGTTTTCTCTCTCTTTTAGACCTCAGCTGGGAATGTGGTAAGTCTGTTGTACTGAAATTCTCTCTAGACACTTCTCAAAGTGTGATTCCCTGAGCATCTGCCTGAGGAATGCCCACGGAGCTTGTTAAAAATGTAGATTCCTGGGCCCTGCCCCAGAGACGATACAGTTGTTTGGGGTGGAGGCCCTGGAATCTGCATTTTAACCATTTCTCCTGGTGAGTCTTTTTCACACAAAGTTTGAGAAAAACTTCTCTAAGTCAGGAATTTCTTGTTTGCTCGGTGTATTTACCCACCATGAAACCAAGGGGATCCATTACTTTTTCCTCTCAGTGAATTAGCATAAGTTTCTTGATGGCTTCTTGGCATTCTTTGTGTTTATTTGAAACCTCCCTACATCTTTCCCAGAGTTGGACTTTGCTACCAAAACAGAAACATTTCTTCATGTGAGTTCTATCACCTTTACTTTTCTTGATAAAGACATAAACTGATAAATCTACCCAATCTTTGACCTTGAATGAGGGGCAGGCTGACAACGAACTTTCCCTTCTGTAGAATTATGTCTAACAGAAGAGAAAACAAGGAAATGTCCACGCCCCGAGCAGCAAAAGTCTGGCCTTGTCTTTCGGGTGCCCAGGATTTCTGTATCTCAAAATCCTTGTGGGGATTTTGGGGTGGATGGAGAAATAGAAACCTTTAGGGCAAAATTAACTTTTGGTTATTTAAATTTAAAGTAAATGCATGGTATCAAATACCTTCAGGGAGGCAGGAATGTCACTGAAACTTTGAAATCAAAGTAAGTGATAGGACATTTCCAAAGCATGAATTCATGGAAATGTTCAAAAGAGAGAGAAATAAAAGGAGCCCTCTGCTAAAGGTCTTCTCACTGACCAGTAAGGATGCCATTCTCCTTGCAGAAGTCATCAAATGAACAAAATGGACATCTGTGATTCAGAGAATGGACACCCAAATGGATATAAGAAGAAAAAGGTACCTCACCTATAGACTTGATGAAAGTAAGCCTAGCATTTATTCTCCAAAGCACTCTTTCACATTTCATTTGATAGTGTACTCACAACAGTTAGTGAGTTCTTACAGGTTAAATGACTTTCCCAGGGTCAATAGCTTCTAACAGGTCAGAGTGGTATATCAGGTAGCTAGTCAGACATAAGCAGGGCAGAGGAGGATTGTCCCCAAGCCCCCAACCTCCAGGGATGTCAGGCCGCCACCAGGTGTTGGTCAGGCAGCTGTTAACTGTCTTTCTAAACCAATAATTAGTTGCAGCTGGCACCAGAGAACGGCAGTCTCTCCACAGAGAAACCTCAACTTGGTGATCAGCTTCCCGATACGATCTCAGGAGTTGGGCAAGTGGGCTCAAGCATGTGCACTAAGAGGTAAAATGGTGGCGTTTCACTGGTATATGACCTTCCTCCGGGAATGTGCAAGTGGTAACGCCCCAAGGGCGTATGCGAACAATTTCAGTAAACACGCTGCGCATGCTCCCCTCCCAAGTGCTAACAGGCCACTGCACATGTGGACAGCCCTCCAGGGGAAGAATCAGGGAAGAAGGGACACAAGCCCCCAGAAGCATGCCAGTGTACAAGACCCCAAGTCAAAGATCAAACCGCACACTTGATCTATGAAGTCGCCCACTTGGCCCTGTTCCAAATGTACTTTACTTCCTTTCGTTCCTGCCCTAAACTTTTCCTTTTTTTTTTTTTTCCCGAGACAGGGTCTTGCTCTGGCTCCCAGGCTAAAGTGCAATGGGGCGATATCAGCTCACTGCAAACTCCACCTCCCTAGCTCAGGCCATCCTTCCACCTCAGCCTCCCAAGTAGCTGGTACTACAGGTGTACACCACCACGCCCAGCTAATTTTTGTAGATTTTTGTAGACACAAGGTTTCACCATGTTGCCCAGGCTGATCTTGAGCTCCTGGAAAACTTTTTAATAAACTTTCACTCCTGCTTTAAAACTTGCTTTGGTCTCTCAGTCTGCCTTATGCCCCTCGGTTGAATTCTTTCTTCTGAGAAGGCAAGAATTGAGGTTGCTGCAGACCCATATAGATTCACCACTGATAACAAGAGCCAAAGGTTGATCTCAGGTTTATAAATCTTTTTGCCATCCATCCATTCCACCAATAAATGTTTATGGAGCACCTATTACGTGCATGGAATTTAACTAGGCATTGGAGATTTCAAGGTCAGCAGAATACTCTTCCTGCCCTTTTTGAGCTTGTAAGTTTGTGGAACATTTGTTGAGCGCCTTCTTCTTCTTCTTTCTTCTTTCTTCTTCTTTCTTCTTCTTTCAGAGTCTCGCTCTGTCGCCAGGCTGGAGTGCAGTTGTGTGATCTTGGCTTACTACAACCTCCACCTTCTGGGTTCAAGCAATTCTCCTGCCTCAGTCTCCTGAGTACCTGGGACTATAGGCACGTGCCATCATGCCCAACTAATTTTTGTAATTTTAGTAGAGATGGGGTTTCACCATGGTGGTCACGATCTCTTGACCTCACGATCTGCCAGCCTTGGCCTCCCAAAGTGCTGGGATTACAGGCATGAGCCACTGCGCCCAGCCGAGCACCTTCTATATAGCAAATACATCCCTGCCGTCCCCCAAATTCAGACAGAACTACAGAGGATAGCTTCTTTATGGACCTCCAACTATTTCTGGAAAAGTATGGTGTCTACATTTGAGGATTACTGTTTCCATGTTAGAGAGCTAAGAGACAAAAAATACTAAAAGGTTGGACTAGTTCTAGTTCTACTTCTGGTTCTCTCCCCACTTTTATTTAGCAACTCACCATCTCATGGGGCCTCGATTTTCTATTTTATAGAATGAAGGACTTGGGTGAATACAAACAAGCACTTAAAAAATCCTGCAATCACCATCTGTACAAGCAAACTGGATTTTCCCAAAAGCAGACCAGTCATGCTCTAAAAAGTCATGTCAGTCCCCAATTTCTGTAATTGTCTAGAACAAAGTATATATTCACAGGTACTTCTAATTGCACCAACCAATGTGGGAAGAAGCTTGAAGTTCCGTAAATAATTTGCATACTGTTGCATTAGGCTGGCCACAGCCAACATGCCATGTCCTAATGAGCCTGTCTGATGGAAAGTTAGTCTGGCGCATCAAAAATTATGCAATATTTAACACTTCTTTAAGAATTCTTTATAAATGCAGTCTGTGCCAATGTTAGGAAAATGTCCTCTGAAAGCAAAGAGCTAATACTAAATTGACATCCCAAGAGAGAAAAATAGCTGCTTTGGCCAAAAGAAACCCAAGGGATTAAAAACCACAGAAACTCTATGGACCTCTACAGAACGCTGTAGAAGGCCACTTGCTCCCCATTGCTAATTGAATAAAATCTAAACTGTTTAGCCTGACCCTCAGGGGCTCCAGAGTCTTCCCCCAACTCCTCTGGATGTCTGAGTTGAACCCGTTCAGCCATTCTTCAGATGTGACCTCCCCTGAAAAGATGTCTGTCATGAGCCTGTCTAGGATGAATCATTCCCACCTTTGTTAACATTATCTCTTCCAGAGGAGCTCCTGCCCCACCAGGAACCTGATAAGCATTGGGTATGGTTCTCTGTCCCCTGTAGGACCCACCCAGGGCCTGGCACAGAGCAGGTGCTTGGTTGACCTTTGTTGACCATTAGTAGCCATGGCAATAATGATGGTATTAATAGTAAACACACAAGCAGGGCTTACTCAGTGCCAGGCACTCGTCTAGCATGTTTTGGATTTATTAACATATTTATTCATCCTAACAATGGAAGGAAAGCTTAACAAATGAGGAAGCGGAAACACTGAGTGTTTAAGTAACTTTCGGATCATATAACCAATACTTAAACCCAGACCATCTTGTTCTTGGAGTCCATGAGCTTAACCATCAGACTACACAGCTTCTAGATCGGCGTCTAGAGTTGGACACATGCTTCCACTTCCCACAGATAGAGATGGAGAAGGAGACTAAAGAAGAACAAAGATGCTAGCTAGTAAATGAGCTGGGTCCTTGTGAGAGTTTTCCGTTCCATCGCAATGCCTTCCTGGAGGAATGAAGGAGGCTGCTGTTAGTAGCATTTCTCCTGTACCGGAAAGGAGCCAATGCCACTCTGTGTAATAGTGTGGCTAACTGACGGGGTCCACGAGGAGACTCTAGCCTGCCTAGATCTACCTTAGGAATTACTGTTGAGCCCTGGGATTCTGTGTACTGTTAACACTTTCCCCAGCTAAAGACACAAAGATCCTTGACGTTCATGGAGCCCTGACACACTCCAGGCTCTGGAAGCTATTCTCACTTAGGGAAGCGGCTGGGTCTAGAATAGGGAGGAGGCAAAGCCCTGAGGACCAGGGCGGAAGGGGAGTCATTGGGGCTGTTCTGCAGGGCTTCCCTGTCAGGCTGGCCCTGCACTCGGGCATGTCCTTCCATTTAAAGTGGCTAGGCTTCATCTGTGGCATGCAAACTCAATCTAACTCACACCCCAGCAGCGTGGGCTGCTGAGGGGCTTGTGGGAGCTGCTCCAGAGTCCCCACTTACAGCACAGCAAGCTGTGAACCCACTTCCCACACTGAACTGCATTTACAGGTCACTCTGGAAGGACTGAGCTAAAAAGCTGCTGACCAATTGATAATGCGCTGTTTGTGGATGTTTCGTTAAATGTTTAAAATTTTTATTTTTCTGTGGCTTGTTTTGGACTCTACTTTTATATTTAGTATGTGTTTCATGTCTTGGATAATTTCACAGCCCTGAGCCCTTTGCTCAGGATGAAAGGAGACCTGGCCTTGGAGACCTAGCTCATCGCTTCTCTGTGCCAACCCGTCCCCTGGCCCCAGGTGAGGGATCCCATCCCACAGATGTCATCCCATAAATGTTAGGGAGCTTCAGGCCAAGGCCAGCTGTGATGTCCCCTGGAGAAGCCGGAGAGACAAAGGGCAGCCCCACCAGGTAGAGGAGCCACTTAAGACAAGGCAGCTCAAGGGAAGCTCGAGCCAGAATCTTCTGTTTTCCCCTCCAGGCAAAAGAAAGGAGCCCTCCCTGGCCCACCTCCTGCTGGTGGCCCTGTGCTGGACACAGAAGCCCCACCTGGCTCTCTCCTTACCTTGCTCAAGGAGAAGGCCTCTGGGCTATGCCTGTAGAAGGTTTCCTTGAATGACCCCAGCCAGGTCTCAGCAATGCGAACCTTGTTCCTCAAGGTGGCCTCCTGGTCAATGGGGGAGGGGGCATCCTGATTTCGGTAGATGTGCCCTACCCGAGAGCAGGGAAGGATTTCAACGGAACCACCGCAGAGCCAGGCCTGCCACGAAGGGAGAAGATAAATACCTTGGCATTCCGCCTTTAAGAATGGTGGGAAATAAGGAGCCCTATCTACGAGGGGCTGGCAAAATGCACAGGAAATCATGAGCGCTCAATGTGAAGATGATTATAGTCCTCAGTGTGGAGTAGAGTTTCCGGATTTGGAAGTTCTGGGCATGGGAGTGACAGGGTGGAGAGAATAGAGGCAGTTGTCCCAAAATGGGGACAAGGGGGCCATCCCCGTGCAACTACCTGGATATGCGGCCCTTCAAACACATGCAGATCCAGCACTTAGAGAGATGTAGCCTGTGAATTAGCACCCCTACTCCCCAAAGGACACTTCCTCAGGGAAAAAGATGTCCCCAGTGGTCCGGGAATACCTCAAAGCTTGTGAAGTGTGCTACAAAGGCACCAGGGGCTGTTTGTGGTAGAGACAGAAGCAAGCTTTCCTGAGACATAGTCTTTACTATTTCAAGAAATTTCCCTCTGCTCTCCCACTCCCAAATGGCTTGAGGTCACTTGGCAGGAAGCCTTTCATTCCACATTTGGGGATAAAGGTTAAAGGAGTAGCGGTCCTAGGATAAGCAGCATATGAATGGAAACACCAAAACTGGAGTTCCCAAACTGTGTGCCAAGGTACCCCAGGGTGCCACAGCAAACTCGTAGGGTCTGGTGTTAAATTTCTGAGAGAAACATGGTGACATCTGTTGGACTTTACGCAGAATATAAGCTTCAGGTAATTCACACTTTCAGCATTAGATCTCTGCACTTTTGATGACGAATATTTTTCTGGGGTTGGGTTTTCGGAGGGTACTCTGATGAAAAAGCAAGTATCATGCCAGGAAGCAATGTGGAACAGGAAATGAGGGTGACTCCAAGGTTTGAGAAGTTGTGCGGTGCCCAAAAGGTGCTAAGTTTTTATGACAAGTATTAAAGTGTTTGGACCAAACTACTCAATACACAGAACTTTGGGTATTTGCTTTGGACTATGGGTGCTGCGAAAACAGTACTGAGATGCTAAGAGTGCTATGAATAGAGAATGTGTGAGAGCCTCTGGAATCTCTGCACAGAAGTTAAAATAACTGAGACTATGCCCATCCTGGAAGCAGGTTTTGAGGGTCAATTTCATGAAGGCACTGAGAGTGAAACCAAGCTACAGCACAAGAGAGATGGGAAACTGTGAGAAATGGAAGGGTTGACACACAATACAGGAATGACTTCATAATTTTCCCACAGCCTCATTCCTTCCCAGTGACATTTCTAATGCCTGCCTTCAAGATGTGACCATACACACCACTCCAGAAATCCGACCTGTGTCCTCCCTTGGTCCAGGACATACCTTGAAAGACAGTTCGAGGTTTTCACCACCCCGCAGCGACATAAGAGGGTCATACGCTCCAGTGTTTTGGAAGTAATGTCTGTCCATGGCCACCACCTCTCCGGGCACCACAGGGCTCCTGGACACAGAAGACGGGTAAGACATTGTAGGTCAGAACCCAGAGCATAGCAGGCAAAGCTGGGGGCTGGGGTTTCCCAGGTGGGAGCTCCAGTGACTGAAAGAACAGGCTTTGGGCTCAGGTAGAATGCAATGTTTTTAATTGCAAGACTGGGGCAGAGCCACGATGTCAGAAATCCCAGTATTTGATGAAAACAGAGCTATTCTTGCTTAGGCCTTTTATACTCTGTTCTCAGGTACCGCTCCTAGAGAGGGCCCAGGGCCCACACCTGAGGCTCCCCTGCCCTCTGGCTTGAGTCCCTCTGGAAAGATGTTTGGAAAGAAGGCCTTGGTTAAAATAAGGTACCCTGAGAGAGGTAGCACCAGGCCTGACACAGCGACATGGTCAGGCTCATTCCTCCTTTCTCTTTCTCACCCTCTTTTGTTTTCCTAATGACCATCCACCCTCTCCCCAATTCTATGATGAACCCACCAGGGACCCTGGAAGCAGCTAAGTCCCCACTGCTCTAGGGGAAAAAGAAATGATTTATAAACACAGGAAGCTAGAAACCTTTAATAAGGGAATTCAGATCGTAATACCCCTCAGAGAGATTTTAAACAGAGAAAGATATAGTCAGAAGGTTTCTGAAAAAGGCTCTCTTCATCTAGGAGAAACAAATTTTAATGCAGCCACACTCTGGGAATTTTTCAAAGTATAAATGACTAAGAGTTCAGATTTTTCTTAATTACTAAAGAAAAAGCAATGCATTAGCAAAGCTACTGGCCGCTAGGTTATAAAAATTCTACATTATACCAGAATACTAAAAACTGATGTTGTAATGATTATTCAGTATAATTTCCAATTCTGCCACTCCCAATTTGTAAGATCTTAGGTGGGCTATGTGTCTTTGAGCTCAGCTTCCTCACCTCTAATTGGGGATAAAATAGAGTTTCGTAATTGGGTTTCGAGGGGATGAAAAAGGTAAGCCATGTAAAATATGTAGCTCTGTGCATGCTACATTTTAAATGCTCACTGGATTTTGATGTTACAAGTTCAGCATTCCTTTTCTGACACCTGTGGGGTCAGTGTGTTTTTTAATGCAGAATTTTTTGGACTTTCAAAAGGGACATACACTATATACTACACATCAGTCGTAGTGGGGTCTGGGCCAGCACTCTTTAGTCAAATATGCTAACATTTCTTTAGTGAAACATACACATATTTTCACAGTAAGCAGTAAGTGGGATAAATAAGGCCGATGCAGATACCCGTGTCAGTTCAGGGCAGCTTTTGCTGTCTAATGATTTTGTTTTTGTTTTTGTTTTTTGTTTTCTGTTTTTTGTTTTTTTTTTAGACAGAATCTTGCTCTGTCACCCAGGCTAGAGTGCAATAGTGCTGTCTCAGCTCGTTGCAACCTCCGCCTGCTGGGTTCCAGTGATTCTTGTGCCTCAGCCTCCTAAGTAGCTGACTTGGAGGGACTACAGGAGTGTGTCACCATGCCCAGCTAATTTTTTTTTTTTTTGTATTTTTAGTAGACATGGGGTTTCACCATGATGGCCAGGTTGGTCTCGAACTTCTGGCCTCAAGTGATCCGCCCGCCTCGGCCTCCCAAAGTGCTAGGATTACAGGCATGAGTCACTGCACCTGGCCTGCTGCCTAATGAATTATTAAACAAATGCTTGGTTTTTAGAGCTTTTTGGATTTTGCAATTGTGAATAATGAACTGTGGCCTTGTATTTAAAATATAGCATAGCAGTGAAGCCGGTGTTCTCAAGGGCTTGGCTGTCTGGGTTTAAATTCTGGATTCACCTCTCATTGGCTTTATAGTGTTGGGAAACTTTTAAAATCCTTATGTACCCCAGAAACCATGGAGGCAGACAACCAATTCCACTGTGTCCTTTCAGAATTCCTGACCCACAGAATTCATGAGCTTAATAATAAAATGGCTATGTTCTACACCAAGTTTGAGGTGGTTTGTTATGCATAAGATATCTAGTGTGTCTACTTAAATAGAAGAGCCATCCAAAAACCAAACATGTGAGAAGTCACCCATACAATAGGATATATTTGAGACCTATGGTTCTTAGCATTGACCTGCTTGAATTCTTCCTGTTTGCTAAGACGGGACCTGAGGAATCCACACTGTACCTGATGAGAGAGCTGGGCCAAGATTCCATCTCAGGTTGTCACACTGGGGCATTAACTGATGCTATCTGGAAGAGCCTGGCAGAACTTTATGAATACAACAATATAATGATGGTAACACCTACATCTGGGTGCCTGGCACTCTCTAAGTGCTTTTCACATATTAGCTCATTCAATCTTCACAACAACCCTATAAATAAATACTATAATTGCTCTCAATTTACTGATAAGGAAACTGCGGCATATGTTAAGTAATTTACTAGGAAACTGTGGAGGCAGGATTAGACCCCAGGCAGGCAGGCTGCAGAGTCCATCTTGAGGAGGCAACGGCAAAGCAGGTGTGAAATGGGGCCTCACCTGATGGGGCTTATTGGGGACTGGAGGGCCTTCCTCACATGCTCCGGCAAAGGTTCCCAATGGAAATCCAGCTTCCAGTCCAACACCCCACGCTGCAGGTCCTTCGAGGGGTAATACTGGAAAGTCTTCCAGTCAATCACATCTATCACCGGAGATACCACCCGGCTCCTGGAAAGAATTGTGGAATCAAACAAGGGACATAAAGCATTTACTTGCTGAGGCTGGAAACGTAGTCTGTACATGGGCTGCCCAGTATGGCGGCTACCAGACACCCATACCTAAAATGGGGTTTATCCAAATCAGGTGTGGAGTAAAATACACCCTGGATTGAGAATACTTTAGCATGGAAAAAAGGATGCAAACATCTCAATAATTTTTACATTGGTTACATGTTGAAATGGTAATATTTTGGATCTATTGGGTTTACTAAAATATATTATTAAAATTAACTTCATCTGTTTCTTTTTATTTTGTTATGTGACTATTAGAAATTTTTTAATTACATATTGTTATGTGTTATATTTATATTGTTATATTTATATACATGTGTGATATTTATATTGTATAGCAGGGTTCTAGAAAATGTTTTTCCATAAGGAATTGGGGTCCATTGCTTTAAAGAGCATGCCAGTACTTTTCTTTCTTCAAAAACCTTTCTTGACAGCACTGAGAGATACAGAGAGGGGTTCTAGGCTCAGCTCTGCTACTAACGAAGTATGTGATCTTGAGATACCTGTTATACCTCTCTGGGCCTCAGTTTCCTCATTTGTAGAATGGGAGGTTGAACTACTTCCCACAAAGGCCTTTCTCAGCTGCAATGCTCTAGGACTGTGGCTCTTAACTTCTTTTGGGGTCCTTGATCCCTTTGAGATTTAGGGGAAAACTATGGGCCACTCGTGAGTGAAAACTTATATGTCCATGTAAAAACTACTGTGCACGATGTCAGAGAGTTTACGGACCCCTACTCTCAGGTCTAGTTCTTCTTCCTCCTTATAGCATAAAACTTGATTGGCTTGAGAAATCAGGATTTCCAAGCCCTGGAAGTGTCCCTACTGTCAATGCATGTGTATATGAACATGTGGTATCTATAACCAAAGTGCCTGAATCTTGGTTTACTTGCTTGTTTTCTGCTACTGTTGGTGATTTTTAGCCCAATTTTATTTTTATTTTTTATTTTTTTGCACAGGCTGGAGATATAACTGCAGAGTGATGTGGGAAATTGACATGGGTCATATACTTTTTAACTAAGTGGGTGTACCAGGAGCTGCTATCCACCTAACCAATATCTCAATCACATTTTCTCCCCCTGGCCTGTCATGATAATTATGTCTTAAATCTGTGCCATGGAATGAATCAGGCCTGAACTTCAGGGTGGCTAGAAGGTATCACTCTGAGAGAAGTGAGATTCCTGGGAGGGGAGATACCAGCCACACTGCGTTTACACTACCATCAAATTCCATCTCTGTTCCATCATCTTGGAGAGAGCCAGGGTGGTCCCATGATTTCATTATCTGCTTTAATCTATGGCTTTAGGTAACTGATGTAAGTGTAAGGAGTTGTGGGGTCTATATTTAGAGCAGGGATCTGAATATGCTTTTCTTGCCTCTTTCACATTGTTTCTGCTGGAAGGCAAGGGGAACATAATCCCTCTGGGTCTCCCCTATTTTGGGGGTACCCTGCATTGACCTAAGAAAACTGAGAACCTAGACTGGGGAGGAAATGAAGGCACCCAGAGCCCGTTCCAGAGTCTCCACTTACTGTGTAATGAATCAGGCAGATGGATAAATTTGGCTATTGGCAAAGCATTTTGTGGAATTTTGGAATCAGGAGCTAGGGAATCGTGTGACTGAATTAGGAAGAAATGCATGAAATTTGTGCCATCTTCAGCAATCATAAAAGGACAAGAAAGGGACTTGCATTCAAGCATTCCCACAGTCAATTCATCCTAGACCTCTGTGCTGTGTATTTATTTCTTTTTTTCTGTTTTCTTTTCTTTTTCTTTTTTTTGAGATGGAGTCTTGCTCTGTCGCCCAGGCTGGAGTGCAGTGGCGCAATCTCAGCTCTGCCTCCAGGTTCACGCCATTCTCCTGCCTCAGCCTCCCAAGTAGCTGGGACTACAGGCACGCACCACAACGCCTGGCTAATTTTTTGTATTTTTAGTAGACTTGGGGTTTCACCGTGTTAGCCAAGATGGTCTCGATCTCCTGACCTAGTGATCTGCCCGCCTCGGCCTCCCAAAGTGCTGAGATTACAGGTGTGAACCTCTGTGCCCAGCCTCTTTTTTTAAAAAAAAAAGGTCTCACTCTGTCGCCCAGACTGGAGTGCAGTGGCGCAATCTGGACTCGCCGCAACCTCCACTTCTCAGGCCCAAGTGATTCTTCAGCCTCAGCCCCCCGAGTAGCTGGGACTACAGGCATGAGCTACCATACCCAGCTACTGTGTGTGTGTGTGTGTGTGTGTGTGTGTGTGTGTGTGTGTGTGTGTGTGTTGAGAAACGGGATTTCGCCATGTTGTTGAGGCTGGTCTCGAACTCCTGAACTCAGAGTGATCTGCCAGCCTTGGTCTCCCTAAGTGCTGGGATTACAGGTATGAGTCACTGCACTTAGCCTGTGCTGTGTACTTCTTAACAAAGGAGTACAACAGAAGAGAAACATTCATTATGTTTCTCTTTTTGTTTTGTCTTTCTGGAAGCTCAGAGTCACATGTAAAACTTACTTCTAATAACTGTATTACCCCTGACTCCCAATACCCTCTTTTCCTTTCTGAAATCTTCTTTTTCCTCTATTTTAACCGTGTACAACAGTGATTAACCGTGAGCCTCCCTGAGTACACTTTGGATAGAGATAAAGAATAAATGTCAATGAATGAAGTGAGGAGTGCTTTCTATTTTGGTCTTTATTCCTATGGACCATAGTGGTTGCCTAAGCAGGGCTAAATTACTGACTCAAAAAGGGTGATTAATTAAAATAAAAAACCCACAGTCTTCTATTTAGTTTTGTGGTTTTGTACCTACAGATGTGTCTGGTGTTCTTGGAATTCATGTAAAGCAAAGTAGCGAGACTACCTCGTTTGACTTGGAAGGAGCTGGAAGTGTCTGCTTACTTCATCATTCCCTCACCTGTGAATTGAGTTTTAACCCTCAGGCCGGTACAAGGTTGATCCTATGTTAAGCCTTTCTAAGTTCCAGGAGATCAAGTGCTTATATTTTAAAAGGCAAACAGAAGGTGTCAAGCTACCAACAAAGACTGGCTCACTGAAATATGTGAGATCAACGAATACATTACTGTCCAGATATTCAAGAGCTAACTGTAGTTTCAAGCTTCCCATAACCTTTTACCACGATAAAGAATAAGCCCTCGTTTATCTCATTCCTTGTTAATTCTCCTGAGCCTGGATGTTCCTCGAGGTCCATGATACATGAGCCATTTTGAAAGTTCACGCGTATTCTTGGTGTTTGTGGAAAGTCTCTTATACCAGAAGCAGAAGGCTCTGAATTCTCCCTTCCCAGAGCTCTTGCTGCTCAGGTGTGACCGCAGGACTGGCACCAGCTCTTGCAGTGGCAGATATGAGGACGTGTCATGCTGAGGGGTATGAAGTACGATGGTGGCTGGAGAGTTTCCTTGGGGCATCTGAGCCGAAGAAGGCTGCTCCCTCTGGGGGGCCAGGAGGCGTCCTGACCTCCTGCTGCTCCTTGACGCTCGCACACATGCACGCACACACACACACACACACGCACACGCTCGCTCCCCCCCACACTCAGACTCTCACATGCTCACACACACACGCTGACTCACATGCACAAACACGAGGGGTTCTTACACTGCTTTCCATCATTTAATCCCTCAAAGGGCAGAGTGGGAGGTGTTCTGCTCCCTGCCCCACATTGCTTCTCCCCACAGCAACCCTGGCTGATCCTGAAGGACTGGATGTCTCGCAGATAGGGACCAAACCCATCTTCAAGACCCATCTTCAAGTAAGAGATAACTTGGTCAGCTTCTTGAGATGATACCATCTTTCAGCCCCTTTCAAGGCTGTCCCTTTCCCCTTAGAAACCTTCATCCTTCCGGGGGGGTATGGCTTCCACTGCTTGGCTTGGGTATGAGAGCTGGCGGTCAACACAAGGCAGCTGGGAGCTGGATACAACAGCTAGTCTTGGTTCCCTTCGTTGTTACTTTGTGTAGAAACTGGCCATCAATCAGCACCTCCCAGGGCCGCCCTAAAATCACTTGCTCGTAGGGAGACTCTGTGTAGGGTTGCTATGAACAGTTACAGGAGTTGTGCACTGTGCAACCCAAGAGAACACCTCTAATACCATCGTTACCGTAAATTTGCATTTTTATTTTGACAATTTGCGGACAGTTGGCATTAAGATGTCTTACTCTAATAAAAGCAGTATGTTATGACCAATTTTCTGAGGAATGGGAGTCAGGAGGAATGGTCATGGGGAAAGGATTTCTACCAATTCAAATAAAGTTGCCACATGGCTAGTAGGAACCTGCTAGGCAGGGACAGGGAAAAAAGGCTGGTCAGCAGGCTCTGAATTCCTTGGCCAGGGTATGGAGGAGACTACGACTCTTTGAAATAGCTGATTTGTGGCTTATTGCACCGTTCACTCACCACTCCTACCCCACCTTTTTTTAAATAAGAGCTCTTAAAGACCCTTTTTTGTCTTTTGGGCACTGTCTCCTCATCTGGTGACAGAATGTCTCCTGACATAAGCCTTGGAGACAGCTGGGCCCCTTTCCTCTCCATGTGAGGAGCTGCACCAAATGGCTTCTGCAGCTTGGCTTTGCATGAGGCATGTGGGTAACGTCCCTGGGGGAGAAAAGCACACGCTGAATGAGGCTGCTCTCCCTGCCACAGCTCACAGAGCATTGCCATGTGGAGTGGAGAGAGTGGGACTCAGATACCAGAGGTGGCTTTTCTTCCAGATCCTCACCTGCCAAGGTCTACAAGCTGGACACTGGGGCCCAGAGAAAACAGTGGACAAGAAGCCATGAATGAGGTGTGGAGAGGACGAAAATGTGGTCACATCACGCAGAAGAGATGGAACCCAAAGAGGAAGGCAAGCCAGTAACACACCAGGATCAGAGGCCCAGTGAGTGTGTGTGTGTGTGTGTGGGTGTGTGTGTGTGTGTGAGAGAGAGAGAGAGAGAGAGACCAAGAGACAGAGAGACAAAGACCATGAGAGAGGTAGACAGGCAGACAGACAGAGACAGACAGGAGGGGAAAAGAGGAGAGGGGAAGGGCACAGGAAACTAGAATATCTCTTAATCACAAAGGGCTTCCCAGGGAGCCCCATTTTCTTTGTAGCCTAGGACACTGAGGTACTGCCATGTCTTTCTCGCTTCACCTAGCTCTCTGAAATGGGCCCTGATGTGAGAAGCAGATATGAGGGACTCACAACAGCATGTAACACATGTCTCACAACCGGGGTGGGGTTAGGGGTGACTAATATTTCTCCCTGACCAGCTTCTCCAACTCTTAAAAAGAAAGTGTATACAATAAAAAGGGCACTGGACCCAGAGTCAGAAGACCTGACTCTGCCCTTACACATCATGTCACCTCTCTGAGCCTCAATTTCTCCCCCTGTAAAACAGAAGCTAAAATACCTGCCTGGGGCATCTCCTGCGGGTCATTAAAGAAAGCATATGAAATAAGTCTGTGAGGGTTATACATACATAAAGTTTAATGATATTAATTACTGCATTTCTAAATGTCTGCATAAAAGAAGCATAGAAAACAGCCCAGCTGTCAAGTGGCTGTGTGACCCTCAGGGGTCTTTTTTACTTTCCTGGAACTCAGGGCTCTCGACAGTGAAATCATGAGGTAGGACAAGAAGATCTTCATGGTCCCTCTGAGAGCCACCTCTCTGTGATAACAGATGGCAATTAGAGGAGAAATGGGCGAGATCAACTTTAGAGTCTGACTCCAGTGATAGACATTGCTGTGATTTCAAGATGGTCCTTTGCATGGAACACAATCAAAACTGGCAGCTTCAGAGGGCTTGTGCATTTTCTTTTCTTTTCTTTTCAGGATGGAGTCTCGCTCTGTTGCCCAGGCTAGAGTGCAGTGGCACGATCTTGGTTCACTGCAACTTCTGCCTGCCAGGTTGAAGTGATTTTCCCACCTCAGCCTCCCGAGTAGCTGGAATTACAGGTGCCCACCACCATGCCCAGCTAATTTTTGTATTTTAGTAGAGATGGGGTTTCACCATGTTGGCCAGGCTGGTCTCGAACTCCTGACCTCAGATGATCCGCCTGCCTCAGCCTCCCAAAGTGCTGGGATTACAGGCATGAGTCACTGCACCTGGCCAGCTTGTGCATTTTCGTGTCCTAGTTCTTGTCCTAGTGCTGAATTTATGTCTGTCTTCTTTTCTTATGAGATGTGAGTCAAGAGGCAATCTGTCTCATGAAACTGGGCAACTGGGCAACATTAATCTGTCTTGATGTCACTTGAGTTCTGATTATTCTTCTTTGTTAAAATGGAATGCTGAACTATTAACAATTTACTTTCTGTCATTTGAAACCGTCTCCATTTGGCAGGGTGGTAACTCCTATGTCTCCAGGATTCATTCCGATGTGGTCCAGAAATTTTTTCTTATATTTGATTGATCATCCCGAACTTCAAGTGAGATAATAAACATTCACCATGGGTAGGCGTGAAGGATAGAAGTTATAGGCTTGGTTCTAGCATTGATCCTATCTTGCTGGGCAGCATCAAACAATTATTGATCATGGTTCCACTCTGCTACATGCCTACTTGAGCTCCAAGGGGTATGCCTGAGGTGGTTCAAGGTGGGCCAGCCACCAGGTTTCAGTTTTCCTGGGTGGGATATTCAGACTGAGGGTAATGGTTGACTAGACATGTTTAGGAACTGTTTGTCTTGAGCAAGGAAGTAGGAAAGAGATTGACAGTCAGATGGGGAAGGAGAGCAGAGAAATGATCAAGAAAAATGCTAAGATGCTTGTCTACAGGGTAATGTAATGCAGTCCTCTCCAACTTCACATTTCCAAGGACTGGCCTTAGGTAGGAAATTAGGGATCCCTTATATAAACTGGGGAAACAAAGAATGCTGTTGAGTGATCACAGAACCTAATGCTTTCTTTTTACGAGTGAGTAATCTACGGCCTAGTGTAGTTCAGACTTTTTCCCCAGGTTATGTTATAAGCTTGATTAAAATTGCTGAATTTTCACCAAAGGCAATGATAGCCATAGTAAGGTGTTACCCTTATCATGCAATTTAATACAATTTTAAGTATTTGCAACCTCATAGAAGCTGTTCTCTAAGCCTCAGTTTCTTTATTTATAAAACAAGGTAGATGGACTGGAAGACCTCTAACCTCCTTTCCAACTCTAACTCCATATTCTTAAAAGACCTAAACATCTGAAAACCCAAAGGGAATAGATCACTCTCTAATGGAGACTCAGGAATTAATAGGTGGGTTGTTCTGTGAGTGGATGATGCTGTAGACTATTTCTCCCAGTCCCATGTCTTGCTTTGCAAGCCCAGGGAATAAGTTACCTGTCACCAGCTATTCTGCTGAGGAGGGGCTCCAGCCAACCTGGGTGGCACTCGCAGTGGGCATCCATGAAGACCAGCACATCCCCGGTGGCCCTGGTGGCCCCCAGCATCCGGGCCCTGATGGCACCCAGCCTCTTGTTGCTCCTGAGTAACTTCACCCCCTCCAGCCTGGCCACATATTCGCTGAGAGCAGACTTGAGTTGTCCTGGAATCAACAGGGTTGTGGTCAATGGAATGACAAATGCCACAACCGATGAGACTGTGACTAAGATAATTGTCAGCAACTGTCTCTTGGAAGCTGTGGTGAGCACATGGGTCCTAAGAACCAAAAACATGATTACAGTGTGGTTGTTGCTGAGATGTAAGATGCTTCCTTAGGTTGGGGTGGGCCATGATTCTCTGCAGTAAAAACTAGAGGGATGCTGTCAGAAAACCAGGAAAGGGGAGAACTTGCTAACATTCTCCAAATACAGCAGCAAGAATGTGGCAGATACTGTTGGTGTCTGATGTGGTTTGGCTCTGTGTTCCCACCCAAATCTCATCTTGAGTGGTAATACCCACAATCCCTATGTGTCGAGGGAGGGACCTGGTGGGAGGTGATTGGATCAGGAGGGCGGTTTCCCCCATGCTGTTCTCGTGATAGTGAGTTCTCATGAGATCTGATGATTATATAAGTGTTTGACAGTTCTTCCTCCTCTCTCACTCTCTCTCTCTCACTTGCTGCCGTGTAGGACATGCTTCCCCTTCTACCATGATTGTAAGTTTCCTGAGACCTCCCCAGCCATGCAAAACTGTGGGTCAATTAAATCTCTTTTCTTTATAAATTACCTAGTCTCAGGCAGTTCTTTACAGCAGTGTGAGAACAGACTAATAGAGTGTCCTACTCAGATTCCCTGAGCTCCCCTCAACAGTTTTGGTTTGGTTTGCATGTCCCCAGCTGCTGTGCGTGCTAACTGAAATCTGAACCCTTCTCTGGAGACTTACCTTGGGGTATTAAAATGGTCTCTGCTGCAGGTACCAGACAGTCATGCAGGGTGCTGCCCCGGGCCCCAATCATGGTCAATGACTGACCATTGCAGAGTCAAAAGCAAGACAGACCCCACAGTGCAGCCTGCGTTCCAGAGGTCCCCATGGGACCAGGCTATGGCTGGACTTCATCTGGAACCACATCTTTGTTCAGCTCTTCCCTCTGTCTCTTCTGCATCACCCACTCCCCTACAGGTTTCCCCTGAGAGTATACCCTCAAAAAAATCACATGCACATGACTCTCCATCTCAGGCCCTGCTTTCAGGAAACCCGACCTAAAACAGTGGTCAAGGAAGCCAAAGGCAAACGAGTCCATTAAATTTGGCAGCTGCTAGGAGATTAGTGGTGCTGGTCAAAGAGGTCTCATTGCAGTTGATGGGGGAGTCTGCAACACAATGGGTCCAGGAGAGAAAACAGGAGATGCAAAACTGAGACCAAGAGTCCAGACAGTGTTTTAGGAAGGTTGATTCTATAGGGGAAAGGAGAGAAAGAGGCCGAAGAAGAAGGTGATGAAAAGGATGAGAGACACTTGTTAGGTTTTGTGTTTAAGATAAGAATAACTTGATCGTATGTGTATGTGTGTGTGTGCATGTCCGTGTATACACATGCCAAGAGGAGCAAGCCAGTGGAGATGGAAGGAACAATATGTTCACAGAGAAGCAGTGGTCTCCATGAAGTCTTGGAAATGGGGAGTCCCCCCAGCCCAGTGGACTAAGATCTCCCCACGGACAGGGGTTGTACCTAATGCATCTCTTCGGCTCCAACCCTTAGTGCAGGGCCTGGCCCACAGTAGGCACTCGGTACATGTGCATTGAGCAGAACTGAGCCAAAAAGAAAGAATTTCCCCCCAGTTCCCCAGCCCAGAGGTGGCCTTAACTGTGGATGCAAGTAGCCTGGCTGCTTTGGTAGCTGGATCTCTGGGGAGGCTGGAGAAGGTTAAGGCAGCCCTGCCCAAGAGCCCCCAGCAGACTTTGTACACTCTTTCCCTGGGAATCTGTCTTCTAAGCACCACAGACTTTCTGCACGGGGAACAATGTCCTGAGCAGTAGAGGAAAGGAGTCCCAGTCACTGGGCTGTTGCAATTCTCACTGGTAAAATGCTTCGCTGATTTGTTACTTTGTGACTATTTTTCTGGTAAGATTGTCAGCCCTGGTCCACTCCCTAGAGAAGAATCTCTTAGTCAAGCTATTAACATTTCTGAACTCGCATATCTGAAAGGCAGCCCCTCAGTGACATCATTGGCTTTCACATTGCTAAATATAACATATTCCTCACCATTCATTCTCCCCTTCCGCTGTACTGACAGAATTTTGATGTTTCTTGGGGCAGCTAAAAACACGTATCTCCCAAGACCTCCTCTCACTGCTGGCAGCAGCTCTGGTAGAAATAAACTGAATGAGAGGATTCTGGGAAAACTATTACTTTACTATTTTTTTTTTCCAAAGAGGACAAACTGGACTGGCCTCTGCCTATCTCTTCTTCACCTTTTTCCATTTGAAATATGTATGTGATGTCCAGAGGTAGAGAAGCCCTGTTGTGATTATGAGGTCAAAACTACCCTCTAAGCATGTTGAAGTGGAAAGCAGATGAAGGTGGGTATCCAATGGCATCGTGGAGCTGTCACGCCAATCCTGCATTGCCGCCCTATAAGCTTTCTATACTATAAGGAAAAATAAATCTCTATTCATTGGTTAAGTCACTGCAGCAGGTTTCTGTTCTATGCAGCCAAATACTGATATTCCCACCAAACATTAATTTATGAAGCTCTCCTTGGGCTGACTGCTGGTCTCTGTAGCTATACCTCTAACCCTTGTTAGTATTATGTAGGACAGACTTCTAGCAAGAGAGCTTCAGAATAGACTAAGGAAGAACTTCCGGACTGCAACGGTTGTTTGGCGTTCTCAGCGGGTTTGGAAGCGGGTAAGAGCACCCATGTCTGAGTGGTATAGTTCTCGGCAAAAGCTGGGATGATCCTCAACTCCTTCCTTCCAGAAAACAGCAGAAATACTGACTTCCACTTGTAAAGGGTCATCATGGGCTGGTCATCACAAGCATTTTCTGATTAAATGATTCGGTGTGGGCATTACCATCCCAGACGAATACCCAGAAGCCCATCTAGCTGATTCTATCACACTACACTATGCCGTCATGACCATCAGCTTGGAAGCCCATCAAGGTGGCTCAGGGCAACTCGCAGCACCTTTTTCTGTCACAGTTTTCCTCAGAGGTAGAGTAGGGTTGATAAGCCCTGCCTCTCTGGGTGGCCAAGATGATTAAATGAAAACAGTGTGCAAGGTGCTGCTTGTCTGGGATCTGGGTCTTGGCAAGCACACAAAGGAGAGGGACCTGCACAAATGGAACCAGTGCTGGCCTTGGTTGTTGAAAAGGCCTTGCACCCCAGTGACAACAGGAAATACGGGGCCACTGGACGGAGAGCCAGGCCAGTGGTGAGGGGCAGAAGGGGCGATGGCCAGGAGGGGGCAGCCTAATTGCTTGGCAGGGGATCCAGATCCCCTCTGGTGGGGCTGCCAGCTCTGGGGTAGCCCATTTCTCTGGGGCCCAGCTCTTCCACTTTCCATACTCCTGAGGGGCACAGACATAACACAGCTCATCAGATGGTGGGGGCCGGACCACAGGTGTGCTCTTGGGTGGACCCTGCCCCACTTGAGGGTTTGGAGAGTCTCGGGGCACTTTTCCAGCCGACCCAGCCCTGTCCCGCACCTGTTCATTAGTCCTGCCTAATATGTAGCCAGCTGCACCCAGGAACCCCAGGTGTTCTCAGAGCCTCTGGCTAATCTGACTCACTGCTATGGCCAGGCTGGGCCCATCCCTGGAGTGAGGACCGTAGAAAGAACTAACAGAGGCACCTGGCTATCCTAGCCCTTCTCCATCATTCCCCTTAGAAAAACGCAAATGCTCAGCTTCCCTCGGAGGGTTCTGATCTTCCCAGAAGGCCAGGAGGGGTGTCCCTAGTTCATTTATTTGCACCAGAAATGTAGGCCTCAGGCCCAAGCCAAAGACTAGAGCAGAGGTTCTCAAAGTGTGGTCCACAGAAAACAGCAGCATCAGCATCACCTGGGAGCTTGTTAGAAATGCAAACTCGGCCGGGCGCGGTGGCTCAAGCCTGTAATCCCAGCACTTTGGGAGGCCGAGACGGGCGGATCACAAGGTCAGGAGATCGAGACCATCCTGG